TCTGCCCCCGAGTTCAAGCGATTCTCCTGCCTCAGCCTCCCAAGTAGCTGGGACTACAGGCGGACTCCACCACATCCAGCTAACTTTTTTTTTTTTTGCATTTTTTGGTGGAGATAGGGTTTCACTGTGTTGATCAGGCTGGTCTCAAACTCGTGACCTCAAGTGATCCACTCACCTTGGCTTCCCAAAGTTCTGGGATTACAGGCGTGAGCCACCATGCCCAGATGAACTTCTGATTAAGCACAACTATTTTCATCTTTGTCTCACTTGTGTTACATTTATGAAAGCCTGTTTCTTATCACTTCTCTTTGTATTTTATTTTCTCATTTTCTAATCGTTTTTTAAAGTAGAAAAATAAAACAAAATATTAAAATTATTTGCAAATGCATCTTAACTGTTCAAGGTGGTGCTACAGGCAAAATGAACTAGCTGGTAGCTGGTAGACGGCATCTCTGTATGTTTACATAGTAAAGAGTAATTTTTAGCTGAAGTTTGAAAGCCTAAGATTGATTTTACCAATGATCATTTAGATGTATCAATATATAATGTATACAAGTAAAAGTTATGTAAAAGTTCAATGCATTAAAGGATCAGCCATATTGAAATCCCTAATGTACTTAAAATATAATCCATACAATTGCTCTGAAATAAATCTATTATGTGAAATCATCAATATCAAATGGCCATGAAACTTCTACTCTGTTTCATACCCTGGCATTCTTTTGGTCTCTGGCATTAATTAGCTCAAAAGTTCTTGGTTGTTCTAAGCGTCACCTGGAAAACAATGACATAATTAGGAATAACAAAAGATCACTTTTCCTTACCAAAAGTTAACATAGCATATTATAGCAGTCCATACCTAAACAATTGGCACTATGTTACTTTGAGTAATAAATAAAAACGTTAAGTTTGAATTGGTATTCATATTTAATGTTCTATGTTTAGGAGAAGATGGGCGACTGGCATATGAACAATTGGACAAATTTCCTCGAGACTGTGTCAAAGTCGGAGGTCGTCATGGAACTGAAGTTGCCACAGCCTTTTAATTACAGGTTAACTGCCTAACAGCTGTCTTAATATCTGACCCTTTTCATCAAGATGGTGCTGTGGTTTTGGCTGGAAATTGTTTAGAGCCTCAGAGACACAAAAACTAAAATAAAAATGTAGGCTGGATGCAATGGCTCATGCCTGTAATCCCAGCACTTTGGGAGCTCAAGGCAAGAGAACTGCTTAAGCCCAGTAGGTTCAAGACCAACCTGGGCGACATAGCAAGGCCCTGTCTCTACAAAAAAAAATTGTTTGATTAGTCAGGCGTGGTGGCGTGCACCTATAGTCCTAGCTACTTGGGAGGCTAAGGGGGGAGGATTGCTTGAGCCCAGAAGATTGAGGCTGCAGTGAGCCATAATTGTACCACTGCACTCCAGACTGGGTGACAGAGCAAAACCCTGTCTCAAAAAACAAAACAACAACAACAAAAACATGTTATAGAAAGAATTCAGAGTCTCATTTCACAGTACCTATCTACTTTTCCTTTGGCCAACATAGGATAGGGCTATGGTATAATTCAATAGATTACATCGTCAATTGTGTCTGATAATACTCAGTGAAAGAGTCCATCTTATCTTAATATGTATGAAATTTAAAAATAGCCATCTTTGTACTTTTTTGCAAGTTTCTCTATAAGCTTGAAATAGTCCTGTGATACTTCGATAAACATCATATGCCTTGCAGTTTTTCTCTGTCGTGTTCTCAGGGTTGAATGGTCCCCTTAGCTACCTAACTTTACTTTCAATACAAAGCACAAAAAAGAATCTCTTCAAATAAAAGTCTGCCTGCAGAACCAGGCAAAATGACCCATTGTGAGAGTTTAGATGTTTTAATTTTATGTGCTCCCAGCTATTCCGGAGTCTGAGGTGGGAGGATCGCTTGAGGTAGAGGTTGCAGTAAGCTGAGATTGCACCATTGCACTCCAGCCCATGTGACAGAGGAATGAGAGCCAGTCTCAAAAAAAAAAAGAAAAAGAAAAAACTCCCACAATTTATTTTGCTTCTTTTCCCCATCCTGAAAATTCCCAAATCATGTTTCCATTATAGAAAAAAGATAAGTACATGACTAAGAACTACCTTAAGTTTATACCTATACACTTAAAAACAAACAAAAAACTCAAAACTTACGCTTTTTTTTTTAATTAATGAGAGCCGTTTTTTATGATATTCTTACCGTAGGGGTATTTTGCTGCTAAGACAAATCAAAACCAAAAGCTGTAGATTCACAAACCTGTGATGCTCTTTGAGGTGGAGGAACCTAGAAGTCGGAGAAATCCTAATGGAGTAGGAGTGGAGTGACATTTAAAGTGGTCCCTCCTTCTGTAAAAATGACCATGGGATTAGAAAGAAGAAGGACATCCTGAGGGGTGGTTACAGCCCCCAGGGAAATCACTCACTGGTAGGATTCCCTGGCCAAATAGTTCAAACATCAGGTCCCATTATTGCTTCAGTATCAGAGATGCAAGTTCATTAAGCAAAGTAAAAGACCATTCAGTAGCTCTTATTAAAATATATTTTCTTCCTCTAAAGAGTATACAAGGTGAGGTATGCCAAGGTATCAAAACAATATATGTGAGTGTAATTTAAACTGTGGGATATCAACTGTACTATGGATGTGTTTGTATCATTTAGATGTCATTTTAAATATTTACATTTTAGCAAGACTTTTAAAAAGGACTCATTTCATTTCAAAGTGCAAATTGTTTGCCAGGCTTCTGGCAAATAGTTCTTTCAACTGTGAAGTTATAATGTATATATCTGTATATTTATAAATATTATATATATTCATATATCCTTCACTTTAAAGGTACATTGTACAGGCTGTAGTTAGTATGTATAGTCTATAGTTTATGTTAAATGGTTGAAATGCTTCTTTTTATAGAAAATCAAACACAGATGTTACAGGATTTTGTGTTTGGTTTGTCATTTTTTTTTTTTTTTTGACTATTGCATGAGTAATTAATTTCAGATCTTTTGTATTCACTTCTGTATTTTATGTTTGGTTGAGGGGGTGCTTTCAGTTTTGTGGCATTTGTATTCATTGATCTTTCAGTCATGTAAGTTAAAATAAAAATTATTTTTGAATTACTAGCATCATGTGCAGGGTCTGATTTTTTTTCTTTCACATGCCCTTTCTGAGTTGGTATTTATGGAACACACTGCACCTCATTTTCACCTTGATTTTATTTTATTTATTTATTTATCTATTTTGAGACAGAGTTTTGCTCTTGTTGCCCAGGCTGGAGTGCAATGGTGTGACCTCGACTCACTGCAGCCTCCACCTCCTGAGTTCAAGCAATTCTCCTGCCTCAGCCTCCTGAGTAGCTGGAATTGCAGGTATGCGCCACCACGCCCAGCTAATTTTGTATTTTTAGTAGAGATGGGGTTTCTCCATGTTGATCAGCTGGTCTCGAACTCCCAACCTCAGGTGATCTGCCTGCCTCGACCTCCCAAAGTGCTGGGATTACAGGCATGAGCCACCACAGCTGGTGATTTTATTTTTAAATTGAAATTCCTTTATCTCTAAATAGAGGTAATAAATCTCAGATTTGTTGTAAAGCTAATTGGACAGCTAAGTTTCACTGTTGTGGTATCTACGAGCAGAGACTATGAGCTCCTTGAGGGCAAATAGGCACGGCGGCTCACGCCAAGATCGTGCCACTGCACTCCAGCCTGGGCAACAGAATGAGATTCTGTCTCGGGAAAAAAAAAAAAAAAGTTCCTTCGCTGATTTGTGTATGTTCTGTTCCCACTCAGACCCCACCAGCATCATCACAAAGGAGCCCCTGACTTTCAACTCTCACAGTATTTACCACGTGACTCATTAAATACCAGTGATTGCTTTTACTGAGTCAGTGGTAAAAACATTTTCCTCTATAAGGTTTGCTACTATACTGTTTAACTAAATTGCCTTAGTTACTTTACAAAATTATAAAGTAAAATTGTAAACCTTAGTTCACTGAAAAATGCCAGTACTTCTTGCTGTATCAGAAAAACTCAAATAAAATATTTTTATCCCTGACCTTTCCTGGAGATAGTACTTCTTAGTAAACAAATATTATCTTTTGATTTTGAGGCAGTCCTAAGTACACCTTGTTCAAGGAATAATAATTGTTTGCTAAAAATTGGATCTCTAACTTCTCATGCATTCAACAAGTATTTGTTGCTTACTTACTCTGAACAAGGTGTATGCCAAGGACTGTTCTTGGCACTGGAGATAGAATAATGGAGAAAAACAAAAGAAATAACAATCCCTGCACTCCCAGGCCTTATATCCTGGCAAGGGAAGAGAGCAAAGCAGAGAAGGGGAAAAATGATTGCACAAGGTGAGGTGAAGAGAGACACAGGGAGAAAGCAAAGATCACAGGTTTGAAGAGAGTAGTCAGGGGCCGGGCACAGTGGCTCACACCTGTAATTCCAGCACTTTGGGAGGCCAAGGCTGAGGATCCCTTGAAGCCAGTAAATCAAGACCAGCCTGCA